CGCACGAGCAGTTTTCATTCTCTTCCTAATTTGTTTGTCTTCATTTTCCACCAGGGTATACTCTTGCAAATTTTGATCTGCGATAATTTATTTTTCTTGCCCCGTCAAATTTTGCCCCCAAAAATTCGACTTCCCTTGCCACAGCTTCGATCATGAACTTCTGAGAGATTTTTGTTGAATTCTAAGATATACTTCCAGAGAGATTATCTTGTTTGAAAATGTTTTGCTTCATTTGAAAAAAAAAATCAATGAAGAAATAATATGTGAATTTTTATTATTGAAGGAACTAAAATAATGCCCCATCTTCGGCCTCGCAATTGAAGCAAATCACAAAACATGAGTTCATTGAACATCAGAAGAATCAACTGCTCTTTTAATCTTTCATAGTTATAAATCTTTGACAAATATCATGATCAACATGTTGGTTTTGTGGTTAGCTACCTAAATTTTGAGGTTTGTTTCATCGATTCATTCTTTTTCATTTTTCCAGTCATTGTGAAAATTATGACATGCACCTCTTTCTTGATTTGGCATTTTGATCGGAGGCAGAAAAAATGACACAACTAGTGTAGTCAATTGCTAGACTTTTTAGGACACTTCTATTTTAGTTCTCTGAAATCTTCCATTTGTTCAAGCTTCGTAGACTCCTCTAGCCAAGGCAGTGCATAAATATCGGTCTAAAAATGAAATTCCTGAGTGTTCATGTGGAATTGACTATAATAGGTGTTCCTCAACTCCCTTAGTCCATATTCACCAAAACTCCTTATTTAGTAAATTTGATTTAATTTGACATTGTTTGGCTATCTGAATTTAGCTTTATTGTACAAATATATTTTAAAATTGCCTTTATTTGGCTAGCTGAATGATTCATGTCGTCACAAAGTCTTTGAATTAACAATCATAGTGGAGCAAACACCGAATTGCCAAGTACCCAATAATGTCATGGTTTGAGTGTAATATATTCATAAAGCCAGGGCTTTTGAGTTTCCTCTATAACCAATTGCTTTATCAGAATAACTCAGCTTTATTGTATATATACATAATTATATTCTGGGTATACGGATTCAATTTCTTAAGCTTGTCAAGAAGAATCTGTTATAGTCCAGGTGTTGTTGAAGGTCAGAAAATCTCATCGTTAAAGTTCAATTTCCAAGCAATTGACCTAAACTAGATTCATCTACTCGACCATTCCATTTGTGAAGATCATGATCATCACTGAACGTCATCAACGAAAGAAGAAACCAATTAGTTTTGCAATCTTATGTGCAAGATGCCCCATTTTGTCCACTCCTAACACATACATGAATGCCAAGCCCTTTGATTGTCTCTTCATAGTAGTAGATGGTTATTTTGGTCTCAATAAGATAAAGGTGTGATATTCAGGTGCAACTTTTAGATTAGGATCAAGGGTCCTTGTTTTGTAGGGGTTCAATCTTGTCATTTGTCAAATATTTACAACCTCAATTATTAAAGAGCTTTTAATTGAGTTGATAATTAAAGAATTTCAAGATTAAAATTTGCTCATTGTTCATTACCTTATAAGGAAACATATTATTTAAAATTTTTGAATGTTAAATGACTTAAAAACATTCAAATATAGGAAGAAAAAAAAGAAAAAACAAGTTTAAACAAGATGAAATTCTTTTGATGAAAGTGCAACAAAATTCCTGGTGGATTCCATAGCCCACTTCTGATCAGAATACCCCATTACACATCGAATGTTCATGCCCGTGAATCAATCAGATTTTGGACCTTGCACTTTAATGCCCCACAATTCTCAGTGGTGTGCCCTGAGCTCCCAATATGGTAGCTACATATGGCATTGACATCATGGCCTTCAAGATATGAGACCTCTTTTGGTTTTGATTGAACTAGAGTCACAAGGTTCTTCTCAACTAGCGTTGGGAGCAATTCCTCATATGTCATTGGAATTGGATTGATGTAAATCTTTTCACGGAACACCTTATGAGGTTTGATCCCCTGATTAGCTAGATAAGATCCCACTGTGTTAATCTCGACTATTTTCTTAATATCAGTACTGCTAGTGCCTCTTATTTTTACATTTTTGAAAGCTCTTTCAATCATCTCTCCACACATGATGACGTCAGAGAAACTCTTAGTGGAAGCCCCTATCATGTGATTAATATATGGAGATTTTAATGTATCGATGAATAAAGTAATGATCTCCCTTTAAATCATTGGTGGATGCACTTGAGATGTAACATCCCTCCATCATTGTGCATATTGTTGAAAGCTCTCATTAAAATTCATTTCCATATTTTGCAATGTTGTTTGATTAGGGGCCATATCAGTCATGTGTTTCTATTAACCCAAAAAGGAATGAGTCAAATCCTTCCAAGAGCGGATTTGAGTAAGACTGAATTGATTATACCACTTAAAAGCAGGTCCAGTCAAACTGCCTTGAAAGCAGTGGATCAACATCTGATCATTATTGGTGCATCCAGTCATCCTTCGAATAAACATCGTGAGATGGGCAGTAGGGCATCTGGTTCCATTGTACTTTTCAAAATTGGACATTTTAAATTTGAGTGGGAGCACCAAGTCAAGAACTAAGACTAGTTCTCTTGCATCCATTTCATTATGAGAGCTTTGTCATCTCATTTATTTGAATGTCTCTCTACACCAATTTTTTAAGTTCTCAGGGATCTCATTCTTGTTTTTTTAATCTTATCAGGATCATACATGTTGTGATCAGTAGGATTATCTTGAGGATCTAACATGGTTGCTTGAGTTTTAGTAGCGGAGAAACCTACTTGGTGGCTTGGAAGCTTATCGAGTGAAATGAGTAGTTGTGGATTAGCCTGTGTCATCACACATTCATAGGTTTCCATGGTCGAGTAAATCTTCTATTTGCCTCTTTCTTGGTTGAACCCATTCAGTTTTGCTACAATTTGGTCAACTAGGTTGTCTTGGTTTTGCAAGATGCGATCCACAGTGTCCTTTTGCGCTTGCTTCATTTTAGCTTCCCAATCTGTTTGCATCCTTTGTAAATTATCTTTCAGTTCTTTCTCCAGTTTCTCAAATTTTGCTTCCATTCTTAGTATTGTGTGAATGAAGTTACATAGTTAGAAACACCTCCTTAGAGTCCTCCACGAGATAAATCCATGATTAATGCATGTAAAAATGTCTAAATGAATGCCATGTAAAAATGCAAAGATGCAAATGCGAATGCAAAAAGTGTTGGTCCCAATGATGAATATCATAGAATAATTTTCACCAGAGATAAAAGTCTTCATATTGCAAGATAATAAAGTTACGTAGTTAGAAACACCTCCTTAGAGTCCTCCACGAGATAAATCCATGATTAATGCATGTAAAAATGTCTAAATGAATGCCATGCAAAATGCAAAGATGCAAATGCGAATGCAAAAAGTGTTGGTCCCAATGATGAATATCATAGAATAATTTTCACCAGAGATAAAAGTCTTCACATTGCAAGATAGTCCATTTTACAGACATGCTTTCCCTTGGACGTTGAGTATGAAATAGGTTGATGTTTCATCTCGGAGCTTCATCCTTTAAAATTATGCCCCTCAAGAGCTCCATAACCTATATCGGTTAATGCTCCTGTGGTACTGAAGTCATGCGTCACTCCTTGTGACTATCGATGGAACGATCGTAGATAAGATTCTACTACTGGATTACTTCTCAGATCAAATGAACATCTTTCCCTTCTTGTACTCTCTGAACTTCTTTTAGCCCTCGGTGCATGCGACTACTTGATTGAAAACTTTTATCTCTTATTGTGAAAATTTTTGCTTAAATATTCCTTTGTGGATCAACATATTCTCATTATGATATGTCGATGAACTGCAATACAAAAAGGACGAAAAATGATACAAAAAATTAGAAAAAATGAGTTAGTATAGGTAAGAAAATTGATACAGATAAAAGTGCTATTTAGAGATGAATATAACGCCTACCCCATCATGGTATCTACCCCACCATGGTATCTACCCGCATGCTTTTATTAAATAGAAATCTTACCCGGACATGCTTTCTACCCAAAATGGTTATTTTAAAAAAATTGATCCTAACCGCATGATATCTAGTTCACATGTTTTTATTCAACAAAATTTAATGCAAAAGGTAAAGGTTCAGAAACGCTCCTCCTTTGCGTACACTTATTTTGGAACCCATTGATGACAGAGGTTTGATATGGCTATACCTAGGGTATATGGCTATACCTAGGGTGACTATTCTACGGTTCATTATATGCATGATTTTGGCTCTATGAGGTAAGGGTACTAAAATTGTCCTTGATGTCAGTACCCTTTGGGCTACCAAAGCCTCAATCCTAACCCGTTACATGCATAAATAGATCGAGTTCAATTCAAGGGGGTTCACTTCCTTATACCCATACGAGGAATAAATCCCTACAAAGATATAAGTTATGTGTCCCAGAGGTTATTTGCTAAAATTCATACGAAGAATAAATTCTTACGAGAGTAAAGCGTTCACCCCTACTTAGGAAAAAGCTGCTAAAATTCATACGAAGAATAAATTCTTACGAGAGTAAAGCGTTCACCCCTACTTACTTAGGAAAAAGCTCGGATATAGAGCTTATATCATGCAAATGCACGTGAGGTGTGTGAGGAGGAACATACAAACCTTTGACTCTAAAGAAAAAAGAAAACTCTCAATAGAAACTTAGACACTATTGAAAATTAAGATTAAAATATTAATATGACAATTAAAATAAAGAAATTAAAAACTTCAATAAATAGATCATAAGTTAACTATAGACTCAAACTCATAATTTCCACCACAACAACAATGTATAAGCGACTTACAACCGAACTCTTTAAAAAAGGTCCCAATAGAGTCGCCAAGCTGTCATAACTATTTATTTTTTTTAAATTAAGTTTAAAAACAATTATTACTTTCATAACATCTTTCATTTTAAATTAAAATAGTACTCGTTGTTGCATTGAAAATAATTGATAAAAACAAGCAAATATCGGAGAACATCTTACATAGAAAGACAAACCCCAGATACTCAACATTAATTATTAGCAGTAAAAGCAGAGGAATTTCCTAATGGCTTATTGTGAAAGGAAAAACAGCTAGTTTTGAATTACTGGCCACCACGGAGACGAAGAACAAGGTGAAGGGTAGACTCTTTCTGAATGTTATAATCAGCTAAAGTCCTCCCATCCTCCAATTGTTTGCCTGCAAAGATAAGCCTTTGCTGATCAGGGGGGATTCCTTCCTTATCCTGAATCTTCGCCTTCACATTATCTATTGTATCAGAACTTTCCACCTCCAAGGTGATTGTTTTGCCGGTCAATGTCTTCACAAATATCTGCATTCCTCCACGAAGCCTCAGAACAAGGTGAAGAGTCGATTCCTTCTGGATATTATAATCCGCCAAGGTACGGCCGTCTTCCAGCTGTTTGCCGGCAAAGATGAGGCGTTGCTGGTCGGGTGGGATGCCTTCTTTGTCTTGAATTTTGGCCTTAACGTTGTCGATGGTGTCGGAACTCTCGACCTCGAGGGTTATGGTTTTGCCGGTCAAGGTTTTGACGAAGATTTGCATACCCCCACGAAGACGGAGCACCAAGTGGAGAGTCGATTCCTTCTGGATGTTGTAATCCGCCAGGGTACGGCCATCTTCCAGCTGTTTTCCGGCGAAGATGAGGCGTTGCTGGTCGGGTGGGATGCCCTCTTTGTCTTGGATTTTGGCCTTGACGTTGTCGATGGTGTCGGAACTCTCGACCTCGAGGGTTATGGTCTTGCCGGTGAGGGTTTTCACAAAGATCTGCATATTTCAATGTTGATAAAAGAGATGTAAAGTGAAGGGTTTTGAGAGGAAATCTTGAATTCGGATGGGAGATGAAGAGGGTGAGACGATGCTCTATATAGAACGGAAGGGGTGCGTTTCTTGGTTGCCAATCAAAGGATAAAGTTTCGGTGGTTTGGAGTTTTCTAGGAAGGAGGCAATGGTTTATACCTGACGTCTGACTCACGCAACTTGGTGGCCCAATTCATTCTGGAAATTTCTCCTTTCTTTGGCTTCTATTTTGTAATTTTCCGCCTCTTTTCCAATTAAACTAATATTTTTTTATTCCAGATGATTGATTATTTTGGATTTCTTCTAATTGAGTAAATAGAAAATTCAATAAACTTATAAGATTAGTTTATAAGATTTAGAGTATATTAATTATATTAATTCAATTTTTTAAAATTATAAATTAATTATATTAATTCAATTTTTTAAAATTATAAATTAATTATTAAAAAATAAAATAAAATTAAATATATAATAATAAAAATTCAGCCAAACAACTCAAAAAAATATATAAATATAAAATATTATTACTATTATCGACGGAGAATAAACATTATAACTACTATTTCCTTCGTCTTACTAAATTTATTTCTATTAAATTTTAAGATAAACTATATCATTGACTACTCAACTATTTAATCATTTTATTTTTCTCACTAATTTTTATTTTGTCAATCATACTATTAAACTATATAATTGTTCTCAATCAAGCCACTTACTATTAACATTTAACAGATTAGATGATGATGTGGAAGTTAAATATTTTGATATTATCACACATTTGGTTCATGTTATTTACATATTCTCTAAATTTAGTCATACTTTTAATAAAATAAAATAAATTTAGATGGCATATGTCACCATTCTGTTGGAGGATTAATTTTTTTATTAAATATATTTATTTTCCACCAATTAGAGGGTAACACATGTTACCCTCATATTGAAAGAGAACAAAGCAATGAAAATTTGGAAAATAAAAAAATTGAACATGGGACAATAGAAGAACCAACCAAATAACTAACCACTAACAGAAGGTCACTCCTTAATGTGAGATTGACAACATTTCATAAACTTGAAATTATTGTATAATATATATATATTTTTTTATATAACTTAAAAAATATATTTTTCTTAACTCATTAAATATATTTTATTTAATTAAAATTAATTTTAATTAAAATATTTTTATTGGTTTAACTTTTGAAAGAGCATATTTTATCTTAATTTGGTAAATATATTATATTATTACTTTAAATTATTAAATATATTTTATTTTATCTTAACTTAAAATATTTTAATTTTATTTTAATTTAAAAACATATATTTTATTCTTAACTTAACGATATATATATATATGTGTGTGTGTTTTATATCTTAATTTAAAAATATTTTTAACATATATTTAATAAGTTAGAGTAAGAATAAAACATATTTAATAAGTTAATGTAAGAATAAAATATATGGTTTAAATATTTTTAAATAAGATAAAAATAAAATATAATTTTTAAATTTAAGATAAGAATAAAATATAATTTTTAAATTTAAGATAAGAATAAAATATAATTTTAAGTTAAAATATATCTACGGTTTAATTTCTTTAAATCAAAGGATAACACATACATACATGATATATAAAATATGTTGTCAATCTTGAACCAAGCAGTGGCCTAGGCTTAGTGGTTTTGTGACTAGTAGCTTTCCCATTAGTCCTTGATTCTAATCTTCTATTATATAAATTTACTTTTCTTTATTTCTTTCAACAAGAGAGTGACAAGTGTCATCTTCTGATTGATGGAAAATGTATATATTGAATTAAAATAAACTAAAATAAATTCAATTCTCTAATCGAATGATGACATGTGGCACCATGTGATTCAACTTATTAAATTTATTTTAATTTATTAAAAGCATGATTAAATTGAGAGAATATGTAAACAACATGCACCAAATGTGTGATTATACTAAAATATTTAACTGTCCCGTCACCTGATCTGTTAAATATTAAAGACAAGTGGCTTGATTAAGAATAATTAAATAGTTTAGTGATCTGATTGATAAAATTGAAAGATCGATGGTAAAAGTATAATGATTAAATAGTTGAGTGATCAATGATATAGTTTACCCTAAATTTTAAATTGTATTATTCAAAATATACTATTAGAAAAATCAATAAATAGTAACACTTTTCATTTTTTTACTCCAATATATCTTATTCTTTTATACATGTTAAAATAAATATGATAAATCTATTAATCAATTTTTGAGAATAATTTATAATTTTCCGTATCTAATAGGAGTTGACATGTAGTCAATTTAGCTCATAAAATTATGTGCTTAATTAACATGGGACAAAAATAATGAGATATAAAAAATAATATAATAATATATATAATAATAGTTACACGTTGATAGATTAATTTTACTAACTTAATTGGAATATATTTAGAGTGGAGTGACCAAAGATGAACATATGTGAGGTAGAGAGAAGACGATCAAATGAGTTTGAAGTTATATAAGATTATTATAATATATGTTGGAGGGAACCGTTAGGGATGGACCCAAGTGAGTGGAAGAGTATTCTTTCTCTCAAATTTTAAATTAGTATATATCTTACATAGTTTTCTTTTATATTTTTATTGATAATTTACTTATAGCCCTCCTAAAATCATATAAGTTCTACCACCTCTAAAATTTTAGAAGTTCACCCGTAGTATAAGATCATACGTCCATTCCTAGAAATCACTATTAAGATATTAGTAAATGATTGATTAACCATGGTTTAACGTGGTTTAATGGTGACATCTTAGCAATCGAATCAACTTTATGTAATAGAAATTTGTTGGATTAAAATTCATAATTATGAGAACATATGTATAATGTACATTGTATTAATAAAGTATGACACAAATTAAGTGATCAATTATGATACATGTGTCATAAGTATTAAAATATCATGGAATTAAAGTATAAATATCATAAGTTGTATTTATAATTTGATGAGGGATAGAGTTATAAATACTTAATAGATTGATCTAATATTCATTCTACATAAAGCGGTATTGGTCCTCATTAAATAGTTTAACTTGTATTAATCTTGTCATCATGTCCCAACAACAACAACAACAACAACAACAACAAAACCCTATTTCCATATGCAATGGGGTAAGGGGGAGGTAGGGTAGTAGACTGTCCTCCAACGTCAGGTTGAGAGCAACTTCTGTGGAAGACCTCCGGCAGTCAAAAAATTAAAAATAAAGATAAAATGCAATGCATGTTTAAATAAATAAAAAAATACGTAGTTGAAAAATCTTCATATGCAGTCTTCATATGCATGTCTGTAATGGGAAGTAATCCCTGCAAATTAACCCCTGCGTAAAAATATCTGCATATAGACAGAAACGTAAGACCCGGCCAAAATTATAAAGAGGAAACATGAAGAGCAGTATACAAAAAATTATATACTAGGTAAACTATAAGATCGATGTCTTTTATTTAAATTTGTATATCTTTTATTGAATTCGAAAAAATAATATTTGATCACTTTTAGTTTTATTTAATTAAGATGTGATTATTAAGGTTAATTTTCGTTATATCTTTAATCGATTGTGGATGATACACAGTAAATATATAAAATTAAAAAAGATAAACATCAAAAATAATCACTAATGTTATAGTCAATTTTTATTTTTCCCATTAAATTTTTAAAAATAACAAATTGGTCACTAACATTAATAAAAATGTTAATATTTAGTTTTCCCCCTAAACTACTGGTAAAACATCAAATAAATCATTGAATAATGATTTTATATCTAATTTATCCCAAAGCTATCTAATTTTCAATTTTTTTTCAAACACTCCACTCTTCATATAGCACCAACCCTAGGTGGCTTGTTGGTCGCACGATAAAACCATTACCCTGATCGATGCCTACCACGACAAATGGTACTAGGGATGGCAACGGGCCGGGTATTGGTCCCCCCGTCCCCGTCCCCGTTTAAAAAATCCATACCGTCCCCGCTTAAAAAACCGCGGAGATTTAAACGGGGATCCCCATCGGGTAATCGGGTAAAATCGCGGGGAAATGTGTATCCCCGTTTAGCATAAACGGTTATTTAAACGGGTAATTTAATACTTCAAAATTGTATCAAATTAAAATAATTTAATATTTCAGTAAATTTAAAATAAGTTAAACGAAATCAAAACACAAACCAAAATTGGGTGAGTAATATATTACAGGGAGCTAATAATCTTCTTTACTGGTTGTCATGATTTCTAGTGACGGGTACAAGGCCAGCTGATATTATGAATAATTCTCCATCATATTTGGCACATATCGGATTGTTCAGCAATGTACAGACAATTAAAAAATTGATTGATATTGGAGATAGTGAACAAATATTCCAGAAAGCAATTCAGGAGCAGGGACGAGGTCGGGTTTGTCTTAAGTTTCCTTTTTCTTAATTAATAGAATTTTCTTATATGATTTCAGGAATCTTATAGTAAAATAATGGAAGAATGGTTGGGAAATTAAATGCAGAAAACAGTAAACTCAAATCAAAATATAAAAACAAAGGGAAATGTAGTCTTAATATGAAGAAAACCAAACTGAAATAACAAAGAGCACTTCGCTGTTGTGACCCTAAATGATTGAAATAAAATTAACAATAAAGCATGATAAATGTGAATCACTCCTCCGACTCAGACTCGACATTCTAGAGCCACTCAATGAAGGGCTTGACGCCACCACCGTCATCAAACAGTTGTGACCCCCAATTGCTACAATTAGACAAAAAATTATAAGTCACCAAAATTTATATAAAAAAGTTAATGATATCACGTATAACTTGTATATCAATTTAGTACCTCGTCACCATCATCACGATCATATTCGATGCTTTTACAATATGCTTCGGGCTCTTGTGAACAAGTTACTGTATTTATTAATTTATATAACATATCATATCAACAATACAATTGAAAAAAATAAACTTATAAGTAAAAGAAATGATTGATTACCTCTTATTTCGTTTATTAACCAACTTTGGGCACACATTAGCACTTCCAACGTCTTTGGATGAAGATGACTCCGATGAGGACTCACCAATCTACCACTTGTACTAAAGGCAGACTCAGACGCAACAGTGGATATTGGAATTGCTAATATGTCTCGGGCAATTTTTTGTAATGTTGGATACTTGAAACAATTTTTGCCCCATCCCAATCACTTGTTGACGTATATCTCTACAAGTTCGCCTTGGACAACTCTTGAAATGATCATGCAAGTGTCGTGTCCCATTCTTACTATTTGCTCCTAATTTTTTCTTGCAATAACGACACTCTACCTTATCCTCACCATTAACATTCACCTTCTCAAAGTGATTTCATACAACTGAAGTAAGTTTTCGCTTTCTACTATTTGTACCAACATTGCTATCATCGATTTGTGTTTGTTCTTCTTCTATGGGTGAAATGGATGGGCCTTGGTTATTTGACATCGGAGATGATTGAGTCATATTATTGCTTTCAGCTTGTGTTTGTGCTTGTGCCTGTGCATCAGAATTATCATCTATGGATCGTTGACCTTCCATTATTGCTATGAAACAACCTTCATTAAGAAACGTAGCTATTAATGATCAGAAATGATATTAACCATTTAGTAACACTAATTTCACATTTAGTAACAAATCTAAATTCATGAATTTGAATGTAATCAAGAAAGTGTCTTCTTTCTCCTAAATTTGTACTAAATAGAAATACAAATCACTTCTTTCAAATTTACAAAGATGATATAATTCATACTAAATTACGCTTTAATAATTATTTTTATAAAACTGGCAATAGAATCTGGAACTTAATATTAAATAAAGCATCGAATTTTCTCTCATTCTAAAAAATAAAGCATCTATTTGTACTAAATAGAAATACAAATCACTTCTTTCTTATTGCACATTTTGCAGATACTTATTAATCGCTAAATGGATTGTATGCTTCCTCAAAATAAAATATAAGAAACTTAGACCGTTCTAGTTTTAGAGTTTTCTTCCTACATCAACAGAATACAGGACATTCAGTCCCTCCTTTGAATCTTCAATGCAATTGGAAGGACACTCAAACAACAAGATCAATGTTTTAAGAACCGGACCAGTGTTGGAACAGTCAGATCACCAGTTCCCAGTTCAACTGGTTGAACAGAAAAATCATAAATAAAAATGCATAACTGGTTGAACCGCCCTTTTTTTCAATTCCTGGCTTTTTAGCGGTTCACTTTATTTACGACTATATGTCACCAATAAAATCGGTCAAACCAACGGTTCCCATTCCAACCAGCAATCTGGTCCAGTTTACAACACTGATCAAGATGCAGTCATTTTAGTGCAAAAAAGCATCTATAACAAAATATAACACGAACAGGTAGCATAAATTTCATGTAGATAGTGTCTTTGGACCTTATATTAGAAAGAAAAGCACCAAATTTTAAACTGGCCAACAGCTTAAATATAAATTCAAGTGTGTAACATTTAGCAGACCCACCTTATCTTTCAGATGACTGCCAATGAGAAGAAGATTGCCTTCTATATTGATGCTAGTAATCACAACCTGAGACAATCAACATTCACAGGAAATGCTGAAAAGGATATATGAGAGGTAAGTTCTAATTTCTAAGTACAAGATCTAAACAGATGCAAGAACCATATAGTGCTTTCCACATGCTGGAAGATAAATGCAAGGTTTTCTTCTAACCTCAGGAAAAAAACGCTGGACCGGAAGAGGCCAAAAAGGTATATTTTCCACAACCATAACATGAACCACAGAACCCATTATACCTTCTTAGAATACAATATACAGAATCCATTTGAGAACAATGGACTAATATCATCTTTTGCGTCTCTACGTCTACACACATACGAGTAGGCAAAATTCCTTTCTTATTTTGAGTTCAAAGTTCCAAACTTAAGGATATGAGGCTTAAAGCAGAGTTACATCCTATCAAAACCCAACTTGTTTTTAGCTTTTAATCTGTTAGTGTTGCTAGAATATTTTGAATTAAGGGAAAGGCATGGAAAATCTTCCCAATTTATATTACATTTCCTTCTTATAAAAAAAAAATATTACATTTCTTTTTTACAAGGTTAAAACAAAGAAAAAAGAAGAAAAAAAATCCTCAGCCTTGCACTAGGCGTAGAATGACAAGAGCAAACAATGTAACAGGAAATAGGTTTTCATGCAGAAAGTTCTAAGCCTTGAACAGGTACAAAATGCACATAGGGAAAGAGAGAAAAAAACCTTCGAAGGCCCAGCAGCATGAAGAATGTTGCACGCTTTCCGACCATCTATTTCAGAACCAATCCTGCAACAACAATATATTCTAAGAAACTGCAACAGAAAGATGCAGCAACATGTAGCTTACTATCGCGAAATATTTCACATCAAATGTTAATATGTTGTGTGATTTATAGAGACACCATTTGCTTGAACAAGGGTAGAACAAAGACTTTAGCTTCAATAAAGAGTTTGGTGGTATTTACATTTGAGTTACTGCTTTTGGCATTCATTGGGGTTTCCTTTGCAACTCTTCATTAGAGGAGTTACTATACCAGATTTGAAATGAAAAAGAGCTAACAGCCTAACAGACATTAATTAAGAGTTGATTAAAAGTATGAACATTATTTAACATCCACCAAGAATGCATGAATTATAACAATAATAATAACAAAACAGTGATGAATAAGAAAATCTGAGAAGAGAAAACGCACCATAAACAAAAGCTGCGGCAGAGTGAAACCCTAAAAAGATCTCCAGAAAATGTGAAAGACGGAAGAAAAGGTGATGACTGATGGTGCTGAGAGCCTTAACCCGAGTTTTACATTATTAGGCTGTTTGAGTTTGACCCTTTAAATTTGAATTACCTTACAGCCCAAGTTCAAAAATAAATAACAAAATATTTCACATTATTGGGCTGTTTGAGTGAAACAAATTAAGTTTGAATACCCGGGTATCGGGCAGAGTATCGGGCCGGGTATTCGGGTAATCGGGGCGGGGATTACCAAACTCGTCCCCGTCCCCGTCCCCGTTTTAAAAAATCGGTTTTCCCCGTCCCCGTCCCCGTTTATCATCCCCGAACCCGACCCGTTTAATTCGATTTTCGGTTTTCCCCGTCGGGTTCGGTTTTTTTTCCCACTAAATTTTATAGTCAGTTTTTATTTTTCCCACTAAATTTTTAAAAATAACAAATTGATCACTAACATTAATAAAAATGTTAATATTTAGTTTTTTTCCCCTAAACTACTGGTAAAACATCAAATAAATCATTGAATAATGATTTTATATCTAATTTATCCCAAAGCTGTCTAATTTTCAATTTTTTTCAAACACTCCACTCTTCATGTAGCACCAACCCTAGGTGGCTTGTTGGTCGCACGATGAAACCATTACCCTGATCGATGCCCACCACGACAAATGGTACACACTTCGTTGTGGGAACCTACAATCGGCAAAGGGTAATTTGATCTGAGCTCGATTCCAGCAGCTTGGAGTACAGATTCACGAGCATTCCATGGACGGTGAATCCAATCTGCTGGCAATCTTGCAAGTTCAGGAAGCCACCTTCGGACATATTCTCCATGTGAGTCAAATTTGTAACCCTCAAACTGTAAAAAAAAAAAAAAGGATAACAGAAATGGATGTGCATATCAATCCAAGAAAATTGGATAGATAACAATCCATGTAATAGATTTGAAACACGCTTGCATTATGACTGATGGATTTCTTATGCTTTTGGTAAATAAATACCACATTGAAACTGGATTAAATGGACTAAAGGAGATTAAAAATGGCTGCAATGAAATCTTTAATTTCCTTCTGCGACATTTAAAAAATTTATGCATGCAAATGCAAGAATACTTGAGATTGGAAAAAAGGTTATGGTATTTTATGTTGCTTCAATAGCAAGAAACTATGAGGTTTAGACGAGGGATCAAATATCATAACTAAAAAGACCACAACAACAATCTTTTTTACAATATGAAAAGTAATGACATGAACTTTGATAAACTTTACTGGTAATGACAATACTTTTTACAAATTCGAATTCATCGTTAGATTAACATGTCAACTTAAAGCCCCCACATAGGAGAGTTTATATCTGGAATGAGGTTAGAAAATGGAAAAATAGTTATATCATTAATTAATTTAAATTTGTATGTATTTTAGGGTGCATTAGAAGCCGAGTAGCAAGAACAATATGCAACACAGCTATCCATGGAGCACAGCCTTGAGGTTCCCACGACGAAGCGTGTACCATTTGTCGCGGTAGGCATCGATCAATGAAATGGTTTCATCATGCGAAAAAAAGTCGCTTGGGGATAAATTGAAAATTAGAAAACTTTTGGAATAAATTAGATATAAAATCATTGTTTAAGGATCTATTTGATATTGTAGCAGTAGTTTAGGGGTTAAACTAAATATTAACCATTTTATTAGCGTTAGTGACCAATTTGTTATTTTCAAAACTTTAGTGGGGAAAATGAAAACTTACTCAAACATTAGTGACTATTTGTGTAGTTTATCTTTTTTAATTTTATATATTTATTATGTCACACCAGTAATCCGTTAAGGGTTTAACGGTAGTTAACCCTCAATGACCATATCTTAATTAAATAAAAATAAAAATAGTCAAATAATATATAATTTTTAAAGAAAAGTGTACACAACTTAAAAGAAAATGATTACCTTTATAAATTTTAAGGCCAGTTTGTATTATTAAAAGAGAAACTACTATAGATACTACTTATAACACCCTTTCCGTAATGATAACAATTACAAGTTAGAGATGTCACTAAACTTCAAAATATTTTTTATAACATCTAATACTTTTGGTTTAAATATACAGAAGGTGCCCAACGTATGTTCTTTTTTCTAGTTCAGTGCCTAATGTTTTTGTCGTTCTAGTTTAGTGCCTAAAGTTTCATTCCGTAACTCAAAATGGACGAACCGTTAAGTTTGGCCGTTAACCCATTAAAAATGCGATGTGGCATATTTTTTTAATATTAAAAAATAATTTTTGAGAATAAAAAATAAATTAAAATGAAAAAAATTAACGTTTTAACTTTTTTACCATTTAACCCTAAATAATTTTCCCTTTCTCCTTCACTCTCTTCCCCAAATTGATTTTACCCTAAATCTTTTCCAAGGGGATCGACATCGGAGCTTGATGTCTATTAGAATAGTAAAGCCATTACTGCTAATAGTAAATGCCTTCCCTCCGACTGTGGCAGTAGTGGTACACCATTTACAGTTCTGGTTCATGAAGCTCCACTGGTAACTGTAATTTTGCTTACATGGTTTTATACACTTAGTTTTAGATAACTTGGTTGCTTTCATTATAAAAAGGAAGTGAAATCATAATGTTTACAAAATATATGACATTTTAAATGGGTAAACCATACAAAAGCCTTTTGACTATATGAGTAATATCTCAACAAAAAAAAGTGTGACTTTTGATTTTAATAGTAAGTTTCCATGGATTCTTTGGATTTTAATATTAGGTAAATTATTTTGATTTTTACATTGTGACTTTTGAAGGATACATAAAGTTGAAGCATTTTTGGTGTTGTTGATTCTAAATTTGACCAAAAAAAGGTAATTTTTTTTGTCTTCTTCTACAAATTCCTCTTTTGAAAATAGTAAAATATTTGATTAAAGTAGTAGCATGTCTTGTATAAGACCAATGTTCTTTAATTCTTTAACACAATCGAGACAAATCTAAAATCAATTGGTCTCAGGTTGAAGGCATAACATGTTGTCAAAGCACAATGTTTTTATTTGTATCTCGTTCATTAAGTATGAGATTTACTTCAACTTTTTATCCAGGTTATTTGCATGGGTGTTAACATGATAGCAAAGCCCATGGTTTTCTTTTTTTTAATGTTATTTTTCATTTGTTGTCCAAATTCTTTATTCAAATGATGCCAATTTTTTAATGTTATTTCTAATATTTAAGTTAGTAGCAGGTCTTATGTTTTGTGTTAAAGAATAATTTAAGTTTGACCATAACATGTTTATTAGGTGTTAAAATATTGTAACAAATATAATGCATATTGGTTATTTGGTTTGCGATAGATATAATGAATATTGAAATCATATGAACTTGTGGTTATTTGATTTTGTTTGTTAAATATTAGTTTGACCAAAACATGTTAGTATTATATTAAATTCTTCTATTTATTAAATGTTAAATGCAGTACTGATATGGAAATATTGGCAGGTAACTGATATGGAGGGTAGTGAAAATGCTGGCAGTGGGCCTGTTGGCATTGATGGGTTGGTAGATGAAGAAAGTAATGACTTGAGTTATGATACCCAAGATGAGAGTGGAGAGTTATGTGGATATTGTCCCTTAATTGATGATGATGATGAGATAAACTCCATCAGAAACAACTTCAAATTAATGAAAAGGAAGATAAAAAACAGCACCGTCACTATATCAGACTTAGAAGTTGTTAATAAAGGTGTTGGGGAGGTTAATGAAGATTCTGGAAATGTTGATTTGGGTGCAACAGACCATGATGAAGAAGGTACTGGTTTGGGCTCAGCAAAAGTGAATGAGGCAAATTTACTAGGTCAAAACAAAAGAAATGTGAATGAGGCAGATTTACCAGGTCAAAACAGAAGAAAATGAGGTGGATTTAGGGTGTATCTGTTCAACATATTTAGGAGGAGAAAACAGTGAGGAGGATATTGTTTACATGCATTCTTCAGATGTTGGGAGTTATGAGACTGATTCAAATGGGGATTTTGTATCTAAAGACTGGTAAACTGTTTTTTTATCCTTCAAATGTTGAACCTAGATTTGAACTAGGAATGATTTTTGAAAATCACAAACAGTTAAAGGATGCTTTGTCTTCTCACGCAATAGCTCACACGTTTGATTTAAAGTATTTAATAAATATAAAAGAAAAAATTAGGGTTGTATGTAAGAGTAAAGGGTGTCCATTTCTAATATATGCCTCTTGGGATGATGGTTTTTTACAGTTAAAACTCTAGTAACTGAACACTAGTGTTCTGTGACATTTAAGAATCCAAGAGCTAACTATAAGTTGATAGGAAAACATTTTCTTGGGAAGCTTAGGATTGTTCCTAATTTGAAACTGAGAGAGTTAATAAAGCTTGGTAGAGAGGAGTTACATGTGGAGTTGAACAAACAATGTTGCATGAGAGCTAGGAGGGGGCAATGGAACATATTAGGGATAGTGTTGAACATGAATTTAATAGATTGTATGATTATGTGAATGCATTGAGGACTGCTGATCCAGATGGTGCTTTTGATTTAGTGGTTGTTAGACCCACTCCTGTTG